AGGGCCGGCCGCGGCCGTTCCGCGCTGCCCGGGGTGTCCCCGGGGGTGTCCCCGGGGGTGTCCCCGGGGGTGTCCCCGGGGGTGTCCCCGGGGGTGTCCCCGGTCACCACGCTGGCGCTGGACATGGACAACCTGGCGGGGCTGGGCAGGTCAGCGGGGCTGGGGGTCTCCGGGGGGCTCCGGGGGGCTCGGGGGTTGCAGAGGGGCTGAGGGGGGGCTGTGGGTCCGGGATGCGGGACACGGGCTGCCCCCCCCGAGCCGCGCGGGGGGCTGTTGGACGGGTTTGGGGACCCCCCCGTCTCCTCCAGGGGAGGGGGCGAGGGGCACCCCGAGGCTCTGACCCTCACCCCCCCAACCGCCCGCAGCCACTGGGACACCCCGAAGCGGCGGGTGCCCCCTCCGGGGCTGCGGTCCCCCGTGTCCCCCCCGCGGCCGGGGGCCTCGGACCCCTCCCGGGGCTCCCCCCGGCATCTCCCCCGGGATTGCGTCTCCTCCGAGTCCTCGGATGCGGGTGAGTGACGGGCGCTGCCCCCCAACATCCCCCGGGAGCTGGGGGGGTCAGGATGTCCCTGAATGTGGAGAGGGGGGCTGAGGTGGGGGGGGGATCTTTGAGGTGCCCACGGGAGCCGGGACCCCCCCCGAGTCACCCCGCCGGGGGGGCTCATGGGCAAAGGGGTGACCTGGATGGGCCAGCCCAGCCCGAACTGGTGGTCCCAGTGCTGAACTGGTGTCCCTCCCGCCCCGTGTGCCCGCAGGTTTGGGGCCGGACTCGCCCCCCCCGCAGGACCCCGCGGCGCTGGATGATGTGTGAGTGTGTCCCCCCTCCGTGTGACCCCCCCCGGGAGGTCCCCAGTGCCCTGTCCCGGCCTTGCTGGGGGGGCCGTGACCCCCCAAATCTCCTCCCGGGGGGTCAGAAAGCCCCCGGGGGCGGGAGCTGTGACCGCGGCGGCTTCGCCGGCTCCCGACAGATGTGGCACAGGGCGACAGATGGGGACGCCGGCGGGGCCGGGGGGCTCGGCGTGGGGGGCCCATCTGGCCCCCCTCCAGCGGCCCCAGCGTTCCCGGTGTTCCCGGCATTTCCATACAGCTGGAGCCGCCCGCGGGGCTTTGTCTGGGCACCGAGGGAGGGGCACCGGGACCACCCTGGGGCTGCCCCCCCTCCCAGCCCGGCACTGGGGTCCCTTGGCCCGGGTCTGAGGTGCCCACGGTCGGGATTGGGGTCCCCCCTGCCGATATTGGGGTCCCTTGGCCCGGGATTGGGGTCCCCATGATCAGAATTGGGGTCCTCCTGGCCGAGATTGGAGACCCCTGGCTCAGGATTGGGATCACCAGACTGGGATTGGGATTCATTGGCCCGAGATTGGGGTCCACAAACTGGGATTGGGGTCCTCTGGCTCAGGACTGGGGACACCAAACTGGGATTGGGGTTCATTGGCCAGGGATTTGGGTCCCCAAATTCAGAATTGGGGTCCCCAGCCTGGGATTTGGGTCTCCCCTTGGCCCAGGATTGCATCCTGGCCTGTTTTGGCCTGGCATTGGGGTCCTCACAGCTGGGATTGGGGTCCCTTGGCCTGGGATTGGGGTCCCCATGATCAGAACTGGGGTCCTCCTGGCCGAGATTGGAGACCCCTGGCTCAGGATTGGGGTTCCCAAACTGGGATTGGGGTCCCCTGGCTCAGGATTGGGGTCACCAGGCTGGGATTGGGGTTCACTGGCCTGGGATTGGGGTCCCCATGATCAGAATTGGGGTCCCCAGCCTGGGATTTGGGTCTCCCCTTGGCCCAGGACTGGGGTCTCTTGGCCTGGCATTGGGGTCCCCACAGCTGGGATTGGGGTCTGCAGACTGGGATTGGGATTCCTTGGCCTGACATTGGGGTGCCCCAGCACAGGACTGGGGTTCCCCTGGCCCAGGATTGTGGTTCTCTGGGGGGGTGGGGACCATTCCAGGGCCTCTGGGCTGCAGGGGTGGGACACGGGGTGTCACCCCCCCCAACCCCGGCTGTCCTTGTCCCCACAGCTTCGAGGGGGCGACCTTGGAGTCGAGGAGGGGACACAGAGAGTGAGTGAGGGGCTCTGGCCCCAGACCCCAAAGCCACACTGTCCCCAGGCTGGCCCTGTGCCCAGTTTGTCCCTATCCCTGTTCCCAGCCTGTCCCTCTCTCCAGACCCCAGAGCCACACTGTCCCTGTCCCCAAGTTGTCCCTGTCCCCATCCCCAGGCTGTCCCCTGTCCCTGTCCCCAAGGTATCCCTGTCCCCATCCCCAGGCTGTCCCCTGTCCCTGTCCC